TTAACTATGAAGATGTAAATTTTTTTAATTGTGACAATATATATAAACATACAACCTTGACATTTTAAGTTGTACAATCATTTTCACTCTCCTTTTTCAGATCATTCTACCACCATTGACATAATCTCAGGGTCCCCTAAGCAAAAGTTGTCCCTGCTAACCACTGAAAGTCTTTGGTTTCTATATATGTGCTTATTTTTTTAAACCATTTTATTAGGGGCTCATACAACTCTTATCACAATCCATACATACATCAGTTGTGTAAAGCACATTTGTACATTCATTGTCCTCATCCTCAAAACATTTGCTCTCCTCTTAAGCCCCTGGCATCAGCTCATCCCCCCCCCTTCCTGCTCCCCCCTCCCTCATGAACCCTTGATAATTTATAAATTATTATTTTGTCATATCTTACACTGTCCGATGTCTTTCTTCACCCACTTTTCTGTTGTCCGTCCCCCAGGGAGGAGTTTATATATAGATCCTTGTAATCGGTTCCCCTTTTCCACCCCTTCCTCTCTCCACCCTCCTGGTATCTCCGCTCTCAGCACTGGTCATGAAGGGATCCTCTGCCCTGGATTCCCTGTGTATCCAGTTCCTGTCTGTACCAGTGTACATCCTCTGTTCTAGCCAGATTTGTAAGGTAGAATTGGGATCATGATAGTGGGGGGGAGGAAGCATTTGGGAACTAGAGGAATGTTGTATGTTTCATCGTTGCTACACTGCACCCTGACTGGCTCATCTCCGTAAGGGGATGTCCAATTGACTACAGATGGGCTTTGGGTGTCCCCTCCACACTACCCCTCATTCACAATGATATGATTTTTTGTTATGATGCCTGATCCCTTCAACACCTTTGGTGTGTCTTCTTCCGACAGTCCAGTAATTCTAATGCTGTTCCTCTTCATAGCATCAGACATAGCTCTTAGGTTTTCTTCAGCTTCTCTGATGATCTTATTAGATATTTGTTTGCGTTTGTTAAAGACTGTTTTGCTATGAAAAAAATCTTTGCCCTCATGGTAATTACTCTGATGAGAGTAGGAGGACGATCTTGTCACCTTACATATTGATAACTAAAAACACTCATAGCCATCGAGTAATGCCAACTCATAGGAAGCCCCTCTGTGGGTTTACAAGACTAACTGTTTACAGGAGTAGAAAGCCCCATCTTTCTCACATTCATAATGTGACTTCTTTCCCAAAGTAAGCAAATTCATTACCATCAAGTTGATGTCGACTCATAGCAACCCTTTAGGACAGGCTAGAACTGCCCTGGTCAGTTTCTGAGTTTGTAATTGTTTTGCAGGAGTAGAAAGCCATTTCTGTCTCCTGAGGAGCAGCTGGTGGTTTTGAACTGCTAACCTTGTGGATCACAGTGCAATGCCTAACCACCACGCCACTAGGACTCCTTTTCCCAAATTAGAACAGTTTAGATTGTGATACAGGGTCCTAATAGGAATTACTTGATAAGACACTCGATGTAATCCTGTGTGCCCTGGGCAGTATGGTCACCTTACATATAGTCCTTTTGTAAAGACTTTGGCTTTGCTCTGATTGAAATGGTTAGATTTTGAGCCATAACAAGTCATAACAGAATTGCTGTTAGGTGCTGTTGCGTTGGTTGCCACGTACAGTGACCCATGTACAAGAGAACAAAGACACACTGTGCAGCCCTTTGCCACCCTCACGATTGTTGTCATGTTTGAGTTCATTAGTGCAGCCAGGATGCCAATCCAGCTTGTTGAGGGCCTTCTTTTTCGCGGCCTTCTACTTTGTGGAGCATGGTTTTCTTCTTCGGAGACTGGTTTCTGCTGATAAACATACCCACAAGTATGTCCTTGCTTCTAAGGAGCATTTTGGTTGTACTTCTTCCTAGACAGATTTGTTTGTTCTTTCGGTAGTCCCTGGTAGTTTCAATATTCTTTACCAACACCACAATTCAAATACATCCATTCTTCTTGAGTCTTCCTTATTCATTGTCTGTCTGTCACATGCATATGAGAAGATTGAAAGTTCTGTGGCCTGGGTCAGGCGCACTTTTGTCCTCAAACTGACATCCCTGCTTTTTATCACTTCCGAGTGGTCTTGGGGAGATTTACTCAGTGTAATATGTCATTTGATCTCTTGACTGCTATTTCTATGAGCATTGTGGGCCCAAGCAAGATAAAATCCCTGACCACTTCAATCTTTTCTCTGTTTATCATGATGTTATGCATTGGTCCATTTGTGAGGAATTTTGCTTTCTTTTCATTAAATTGTAATCCACATGGATGGCTGTAATTCTTCATTTTGAAATAACATGATTCTTTAAAGTTAATGGCTTAAAAAAATAACAAGATTATTTAATTTTGCCCAAGAGTTTGGATTGGCTAGGTGGTTCCACTGCCAACTGTCCTGACTCATGTCAGGGCAAGGATGGAAGCATACTGGCTCTCAGCATACTGGCTCAGCATCTTCCCAATGTAGTAGGACTGTTTCTAGCAGAAAGAGTACACAAACACTTCTCACATCCCTGCTTGGTTCATATTTCATATGGCCCAAACCTCTGTCACTTTGCCAAAATTAAAGATATAAAAAAATAGTCGACCTCTTGATAAAAGTAACACCACAGAACTTAAGACATTATTTTGAGAATCTACTACAAGTGGGGAAAAGGCGTTCTGGTTAGGTACATGCTGCTAACTAAAAGGTGGCTTATTCTAACCCATCCAGTGGCTCGGAGGGATATGTCAATTTGCTTCTGTAAAGATGATAGCCAAGAAAATCTTCTGGACTGACAACAGCAACAAGTGGGATTTTATAGTAAAGACGGAGTGGGTCTTATTTTAAAAACACGTCTTCAGCTATTGTTTTAACAAGAGCCCATAGCAAGCCAAGGATGATAGGGGGAGGACCCATTAAGAGACTTGACCAAATTAAGGTAGAGAGATGATGAGGGCTTGTGCCAGGATAATTGTACTGGTGGTGGAAAGTGATCAGATTTTGTGTTTTAAAGGTAGATTAGACAGGTTATGGTTTAGATTGGCTTAAAGGGTGTGAGAGGAAAGAATGGAAGTATGGTTGATTTACTTGTTTTTCCCTCAACATTTGGAATGTTGGAATTTTTATTTACCGTGATGGTAAAAATCATGAGTAAGCAGATTAGTAGGATGGGAGTCAGGTACAGAGAGAAATTTGATTTTGAATGTAGTAAGTTTTAGACACCTGAATCCATTTGGTTAATGTGCCATTACTCACGGCCATTGAGTTGACTCCAACTCATAGTGACCACCCTAGATAGGGCTTCCAAGGCTTTGTAAATCTTTTATTTATTTATTTATTTGTTTGTTTTTTAACATTTTATTAGGGGCTCATACAACTGTTATCCCAATCCATACACACATCAATTGTGTAAAGCACATTTGTACATCGTTTCTCAAAACATTTTCTCTCCACTCAAACCCCCGACATTAGGTCCTCATTTTCCCCCTCCCTCCCCGCTCCCCCCTCCCTCATGAGCCCTTGATAGTTTATAAATGGGTATTTTGTTATATCTTGCCCTGTCCGACGTCTCCCTTCACCCACTTTTCGGTTGTCTGTCCCCCAGGGAGGAGGTCACACACAGTTCCATGTAATCGGTTCCCTCTTTCCTACCCATTCTCCCTTTACCCTCCCTGTTTTGCCACTCACTCCACTGGTCCTATAGGGCTCATCTGCCCTGGATTCCCTGGATTTTCAGTTCCTATCTGTACCAGTGTATCTCCTCTGGTCTAGCCAGACTTGCAAGGTCGAATTCAAGTCATGGTAGTGGGAGCGGGGAGGAAACATTTAGGAACTAGAGGAAAGTTGTACTTCTCATCATTGCTACATCACACCCTGACTGGCTCATCTCCTCCCCGAGACCCCTCTGCAAGGGGATCTCCAGTGGCCTACTAATGGGCTTTGGATCTCCACTCCGCACTCCCGCCATCATTCACTATGGTAAGATTTTTTGTTCTGATGATGCCTTACACCTGATCCCTTTGACACCTCGTGGTTGCATAGGCTGGTGTGCTTCTTCCATGTGGGCTTTGTTGCTTCTGAGCTTGATGGCCACTTGATTACCTTCAAGCCTTTAAGACCCCAGACGCTATACTTTTTGATAGCCGGGCACCATCAGCTTTCTTCACCACATTTGCTTATGCACCCATTTGTCTTCAGTGATCCAGGCTTTGTAAATCTTTATGAGAGTACACAGCTTCATCTTTCTCCCTCAGAGTAGCTGTTGGGTTTGAAGGAAAGAACCTTGGTGTTAGCCTTATAACACTGAACCTGACATTGCCACCAGGGCTCCTTTAGCCTCCCTACACTTGATGAATCACCATCCCTTTTTCAGTTTTTATGATAGTGACTTTTGAAGAGCTCAGGCCTGTTGTCTAATAGCATATCTTGCATTTTGATCTTTTAAATAGTTGGTTTAATGCTAAGCATATCTTTTTACAAAATTACACCATAGGTGACTACAGAGGTAACACTGTTCCCTTTTAATTGCATTACCTCAGAAGACACATTTCATGTTGTCCCACTATTAATGTTGCTAAGTTTGATTACTTGGTATCATCTGTGGCTGCCTGATCTCTCCACTGTAAAGATATAACGCCCTGTGTGAGATTAGTAAGTAAGTTTTGGGAAGTGTACAAAGGCCCTCAACAGTTTTTAAGATGCTTGCACTCATTATTTTTATCCACTCAGCCGCGTTGTTTTCCTTTTTCTCAAAACAAAAAAAGCCATGAAAGGACCAAAATGAAGCTGAAATGATGTAGACATGAAACAGGAGAGAGGACTGTGGTAAAGCACATCTAACTGGTGCTTAGTGTGTTTGCACGTTTGGCGGGTAGAGCCATGTACAATCATGGTGTATAAAATTGTACTATGTTCCTCTCAGCCATTACAAAAGAGTAAAGCTTAAAATAACATATGAGCAACACTGTATTCTTAGCCTTTTCTAAGCAATCCTGGTTAGTTAATGATCTTTTTCTTTCTTTCTAGGTTTAAATGTAGTGCCTGACCTTTATTTCTCCTCTTACAAGGTAAGTGTTTTGCATTTTTGAAATAATAATTTTAAAAATTTATTATTTGAATAGTTTGTTTAGACTAACTTTAATTACTGAAATTGTTTCAGGAATGTACTTGTTTACCACTTGGGCTTAAGAGGTTTAACATAGAAGGATATTATCTTCAATAGAATGATTGTTACTACACCAATGTGATGCTGTAACATTGTGCCCAGTACCTGAGTGCTGAGGAAAATTGGAAGGTTGTCATGGGACTTAAAGTGCACGTAATTTTAGTACATTTCAACATGAGTAATTATCTAGGTTTGCCTAAGTCATCTTTGATTGGCTATAATTGCATTGAGGGGTGACTTAACTTACAAGAGTACCAAGATTCTGTGATCATTTTGAATTTTAAATGCTGTGTTGTTGAAGGCACTGAAATACTCTAGCATTGGTGTAGAAGTAAAAATGATTGCTGAACTTATCAAGCCATACTACTAGACGCATAGGAGTTCCTCACAAAGTATTGCGGTCCCTCTGAGGTAGAAGTCAGAGGGAAACCAAATAAAATACCAGTTTCTTTTCTTTTATTCTTTTTATGTTTTGCCTTGCTGCTCCTTTAAAACATTTATATTAGGAAACTTACTCCCCCTCTGCATGCGCCTCCCCCCCCACCCCCAAAATTGGGTAATTTGTTTTTTAAGCTCACTAATGTGCTTGTTCTTGTTGGAAGATAATGCTGGCCTATTGAAAGTGCACCTAGTTTTGAAGAGGATCTTAAATAAGGCACATAGTTAACCTGGCTTAGTGCCTGGCACTTCTACACGTATAATGCATGCTTAAAGACCTGTTGCTTGGTGAATTGATTTCACTCATGGAACACTCCTCCATGTGTTACAGAGTAGAACTGTACTTCCTATGTTTTTTTTTCTCCCCTCCATATAATTTTTATTTATTTATTATTTTTTTAAAACATTTTATTAGGGGCTCATACAACTCTTATCACAATCCATACACACATCAATTGTGTAAAGCGCATTTGTACTTCATTTTCAAAACATTTTCTCTCCACTTAAACCCCTGACATTAGGTCCTCATTTTTCCTATGGTTTTCTTAGCTGTAATTCTAAAAAAATGTTTTATAGGGAGCTCATGCAAATATAACAATCCATAATTCAATTAGGTCAAGCATAATAATACAGTTGCTACCACAGTCAGTTTCCAAACCTTAGCTGTAATCTTAATGGGAGCAAATTGCCAGTCCTTTCTGTAGTGGTACCGCTGGGTGAGTTTGAACTGCAAGTTAATATTAATGGATCTTTTAAAGAAACTGGTAAAGGAGATTTAAAGACATGAGAAGAAGCAGGGTTCTCCTTTTTAATGTTCAAGGACTATTAAAGTATATTTGTTCTAGTTACTGATTTTGGTTCTAAATGACTAAAACATTTAGATTATAGTTTTAATGAAAAGTGTTTTCAATGTAGGCCAGGACATCTGATATTACATACCTGTTTATTCTCTGGAGTTTGAGATTTGAAGGCAATATTGTCTAGGTGACTTGCATTGAATATTTGAGTTCTTACTACAAATCCAGATTACATGAATGCTTTTCTTCATTCTCTTTCTCCATTTAAATGAAAACAGCTATCGCAGTTCCAAAATCCACAAAGCCATAATGTGGCATATCGTCCTTTTTGAGAGGTGAATAGCATCGAATAAAAATGGCTGACAGAAGTGGGAAGATTGTTCCGGGCCAAGCATACATTGAAGTGGAATATGATTATGAATATGAAGCAAAGGACAGAAAGATCGTAATAAAACAGGGAGAACGGTACATCTTGGTGAAAAAGACAAATGATGACTGGTGGCAAGTCAAACCAGAAGAGAATTCCAAAACCTTTTACGTGCCAGCCCAGTACGTTAAGGAGGTCACCCGCAAAGCTCTCATGCCTCCTGTTAAACAGGCAGTTGGGCTGCCAAATCATTCCATGAAAATGATACAGAGTCTGCATCTTCAGAAATCAACAGAAAACGTGAACAAATTGCCTGAGCTTTCAAGTTTTGGCAAGTCATCCTCTTCGGTTCAAGGAACAGGGATTATTCGTGATGCCAACCAGAATTTTGGACCCAACTGTAGCCCAGGTCAGACTCTTGGCCTGAGCCTGGACCTGACCCATAACAATGGAAAATTTAACAGTGACTCACATTCTCCTAAGGTTCCCAGCCAGAATAGGACGCGCTTATTTGGTCACTTTCCATGTCCAGAGTTCTTGGACATAGAAAAAACTAGCTTCTCCCAGGAACAGTCCTGTGATTCAGCAGGAGAAAGCTCTGAAAGAATACATCAAGATTCGGAATCTGGTGATGAACTCAGCAGCAGCTCTACTGAACAGATACGGGTAAGATCACAGTAGAATGACGAAAGGCTTACGACACGTCATAGAAATATTATTTGAAAATTTTAATTAAAACCTTTGTAAGAGTTAAGCATTATTTATTTTGCTTTGTGGTTTCAGAATACATGGGTTTTAGCCTGATTTAAGGAGCTGGAAAATCTGTGAGATAACTGTGGAGCTCTTTATAGAACCCCAACTACTTTACAGAAAAGTTTTGCCCCCTCTATAAGGAGCCTAGATGACGTAGTGGTTACACATCGGGCTTTTAACCACAAGGTCACTAGTTCAAATCCACCAGCCAGCTCCTCGGGAGAAAGAAAGGGCTTTCTACTCCTGTAACGAGTTTCGAGACCCACAGGGGCAGTTCTACCCTGTCCTACAAGGTCGCTGTGAGTCAGAATTGACTCGATGGCAGTGAGTATATTGGTTATGCATATGATAGAATTTATTTAGTGATGTTTTGGTAGAAAACATCTTAGCTGGTTTTTGGTTGGGCACATTTTGATTGATTTTCAGTAAGTTTTTCAGGTAATAATGATAAGGTTACCATGAGTTAGAGTCAGCTCTGTGACAGCGTAGAACAAACAATGGGTCTGTGCAGGAAGATGTCGTTGGAATATTAATTGCTAGCTTTTGTTCCATGAAATTGTTATTTACTAAACTTGAATATTAAGAAAACATATTGACAAACTTTTACCTCCACTCATACTTTTTGTGCCCTAAGGGTTTTAAGTATCTGCATTTGATTATATTGAATATTGATGGCCTTTTGGATAATTGTAGGTTTATATTACATTTTGAAATTGGAAAGTGGGAGCCCTCCTACTTTATCTTTTTTCTTTTTCAAGATTGTTTTTGACTATTAGGGGCCTCTTAAAACACCATATAGGTTCAGAGCTTGACTTTTCCATTTCTGCAGAGAAAGTCTTAGGATTTGGGTAATGATAGCAGTAGAGATTTCTCTGGGTAGTACTGACATCTTAAGTCTTCTAGTTTAGGAACACAGACTGTCTTTCCATTTGTATGAGTCTTAATATCTTTTTAATTTTTAAATTTATTTTTGGGGTCTTAATATCTTTTATCAATGGTTTCTGTGTGTAAATCTTGCATACCCTGGTTAAGTATATTTCTAAATATATGTTATTCTTACTCTTTTAGATGCTATTGTAAAAAGAAATCTTAATTTACTTTTCAGATTGCTCATTGCTGGTGTATATAAACCCAGTTGATTTTTGTATGTTGTCATTGTACCATGCCATTCTGCTGATTTCATTTATTAGTTATTTATTAGAATTCTATCTAAGAGAATTCTTTGAGATTTTCTGAATGTAAGATTGTGTCATCTGCAAATAGAAAAGAATCTGTTCAAAGAACCAACTTTTGATTTTGTTGATCTTATTTTTTTCTATTTTCTATTTCATTTACATCTATTCTAATCTTTATTTCACTTTATTAATAGTTATTTCATTTTCTTTTGGTGGCTTTGGGCTTACTTTACTCTTTAGATTCTTCCAGCTGTAAACTTAGATTATTTCTAGTATATGTGAGACACTTGTTCTTTTTCAGTAAGGTATTTACGGGTACTGTATACATTTTCCTCTGAGTACTGCCTTTGCTGGATCTCCTAAGTGTGGGGATGCTGTGCTTTCATTTTCAGCCATCTCAGTATTTTTTAATTTCTCTCTTGATTTCTTATTTGACTCATTGGTTTGCTAATAATTTGATGCTTAATTCCCACATATTTAATTCCCTGTTTTGTTAATTTCTAGTTTCATCTCACTGTGGTTGGATAATATACTTTGTGTTATTTCAGTCTCTTAAAATTTGTTGTTATGTTTTGTGACTTAAGAGAATTGTTTTGAAACAGCCAAAGTGGGAGTATCAAGTAACTTAATTTTGAGAAAATAAAAGTGAAAAATAATATCAAACCAGAACTGGCACTTAGTTACTCAATATAGTAGTAGATTTTTCTGAAATTGAGTTTGTTATATGCATTGATAATTTCTTCCAATATTAAACATATGTGTTAATCCGAACTCTTCAGATAAAATAATAAAACAGCTATTAGTTTGTACTCTTCCCTTAATACGTAGTTCTAGTTCTTTAAACCATACCCTAATACGTAGCTGTATGGAGTGATGAATATTCTAGTTCCATACCATTTTCTTGACTGTCTTTGATATGAGCAAAAACTACTAATCGATAGAAAGAAATTGGACTTTTAATAATCTGTAAAACTGATCATCATCACGTAATAGGAAGTTAGTTGTAAAAAAAATCAGATTTTTTTCCTGTGATATCTTAATTAGTGAATTCCTTGAAAGTGGCAAAATCAGCAGTGGATTTTTTTTTTTTAATAACCAACCAAAACATGACTGTTTTGAGAGCCAAATTTAGGAAAAATTGTCAAGTTTTAAAACAATTTAACTTTCCTTTTTCTAATTTCCTCCCCTTTGTAATAATAGGGAAGCTCCATCTTTCTAATTCCTGCAGTAATCTTTTTATCAATGCTCAAGTGTATGATTTAGAAAAAATCTTATATTTAGAAAGTAACAGTTTCATTTGACTTGGAATTGGGAATTTCTCACACATATGTATTTATATATACATAACTATGTAATTTGTAGTATAGCAATAGAAAACATGGTTGAGAAGATGACATAATCTTAATGGAGTCATTAGGAAAAATGTGTACATTAAAACTGGTCTGTGTTTTCATCCTGTTTTCTATCTAGGCAAGAATTTGCTAATCTAGGTGACATATCAACAAAAACAACAGATGTGGAAACAGTTTTACATTTTTGTTTCAAAAAAAACCTCATCTGTATGCATAGAATAGCTTTAGCAATTGCTCTAGTAAATGCCAGACAGATGGCTTAGAATCAGAATGAATAAAGTAATTTTATCACAATGATTTTGAAACCTGGCATTGCATTACTCAAACTCAGAACTCTGAATCATGAATGTAGCTTGGCGTACACTCAAGAAAGGTGTAGCATTAGGCTTTAAAGCCATAGCAATTGATGTCACAGAGCCTCTCTCTCTACAAAAGGTATTTGACTTTTGAAACTTTTTTAGCCCACGGTTGAATCCTGCTGATTTGCCTGTTGTTCTGTCTCCGTGTTTAGTGGTGGAAGTTGCTACTGAGTCAGTTCCCACTTCATGCACACTAGAAACACTGCTGGGTCTTGTGCCGTCTTGCAGTAATAAACATTGGTCTCTGTGCGTTGGCCTGTTGTTGCCTTTCAAAAATATAAGGTGATACGGTATGAGAGTAAGTCAAAAAGTATTGCTACTGGGGGTTCCAGTCATGGCTACTCAGATTTCTTCCAAACAAAACGTGTTGATATATCTGCGATTATTGGATGGCTAGACACGTTTCCTCAGTACTTTCCTCTTGTTAGGTGCTGTCGAGTTGATTCCAACCCCCAGTGACCCGTGCACGGCAGACTGAACCACTGCCTGGTCCTGCACCTGCCTGGCATTGCTCTTGTGTCTTGTTAGGGTGTCCTGGGAAAAAAAAGTCCATTCAAAAAAAAGAGTGGCCAGAGGAGATGTGCTAGACCAGGTAAATGTAAAATAAGAGAGATCAGCTCAGAAGTTTTGGGCTACTTTTTTCCCCCCCGACTTCATAGGGTTAATCCTGATAGCTATTCTCAAAGCCCATCATAGAGGATTTATTAGGAAAATGTTTTAAGAAAATTATGTTGAGAAAAAGGCCAGGAAGGTTGTGCCAAGGAATTTTTTCCCTTCACGACTATGCAACTGTTTATTTTTCGTAGCAATGGCTCTTCTAGAGAATTTATTAGAAACTCTTATCCTATTCACCCTGCTGCCATGATTGTGCCCCGTCAGACTGCTTTTAATATAAGTTGAGTCTCTTCATGATACTAAAACTGCATCTTTCGGTGTGATGTAGATTGAAAAGCACAAAATTCTTTGAGGAAGGGTTGTGTATAGCTCCGCATGAGGATACTTTGAGAAACAACAGCTTCACATTTTGATATTTCAAATAAAGATGCCTGTAATTTTGTAGCGATATATTTTGACTTACCTTTGTAAAACTGACTGTTGGGTCTAAGTTGTCCTAGTTTCACAAAGCTGTAAGCTTTCGTTTCCTGTCATTCAATTCTGTGGAATCAGAAGGAAATATACCCTTGTAGGAATCTAAATTTTCTAAGTATTTGAAGTATTATTTTGGAAGGATGCTGTATAATTTATATTCATCTAATTTGGGGGAACTTGGTATAATCAAATGTAGCTTAAAATGTGAGAGGTATTTTCTGTAGGAGTTAGGGAATATTTTTAATAAATTAATGCATCATTAAAATTTTAGATTTTGAGAGCCATATGGTTAACTGTAGCAAGTATTCAGCTGTGCCATGGTAGCATGAAAACAGCCTTAGAAAATATGGAAATCAGCATGACTGTTCCAGGAAAACTGAAAGTCATCAGCTCAGATTTGAATCATAGTTTGTCCCTGTGGGGAATCAAAAGGATCTCAAAAGAGGAAATAGATGTAAACATGCATTAATAATCAACATGGACTATATGAAATCTGAATCTAGGAAAACTGTGAATTGTCAAAAATGAAATGGCGAGCTGAAGATTGATATCCTAGGCATTACTGAAGTGAAATGGACTTTAATTATATGGTTTACCTGGCCAGGAATGACAAATTCACAAGTGGTGCCCTTTTTGTTCATCAAAAAGAACTTTTCAAGGGCTATCTTGAAGTAAAGTGCCAAATGGGATAGGAAATATCAATAAGCCTACAAGGAAGTCTAGTTAATACAACTATTATTCAGATTTATGCCTCAACCACCAAACCTAGTGATGGAAGAAGTTGAAGAGTTCTACCAACTTCTTCAAGCTGAATTAAAACACACATCTTCATTACTAATGGCTGGTGATGGGAATATCAAAGTTGGAAAGAAAGGAAGGCTCAGTAGTTGGAAAATATGGTCTTAGTGTCTTAATCCTTACAGCATAACTGTCTTCAA